GTGTGTCTGTTACTTCAGTGGAGGCTTGTCTGTATGGGTCTATTAGATGTCCATACACACAGTACGAATTTTGTTGCAAGGCAAGCTGATGGCTGACTAGCAGGCAAACAGGCAGACAGGCATTAGAAAAGTAACGCAGTTGCTGCTGCTGCTGGGGCAGCGACTGAAGCTACAGCATTGCAGTCATTCGCTTTTTAGCGTTTTTCCTTCATTTTCTTTAGCATTAGTTGTTTGGTTGTTTTTTTTTTCATTTTTTGTTTTGTTTTGTGTAATCCATACACAGCAGATGTTATTTGATTTGGTGTTATTGAACTTTATTGTGTTTGCTGTTACTGCAACTAGTGTTGTTGAGCATGTGGTTGTTGTTGATGTTGTTATTGTTGTCGCCGTTGCTGGTGGTAATGGTGTTCATAATGATGATTAACCGGAAGAAAGGAACCACTAAAAACAAATTTTCTTTTCAATTTTAGTTTTTTTTTTTTGCAATTTTTTTACATTTTGTTTTTTTTTTTTTAATTTTCCACTGGCACTTGGTATGTGGTGGTGATCTACTTGCTGTCACCGATGGGTAACGGCATGCCTTGGCTCATTGTTTCCAAACAAAAATATTATTTTGAGTATGAGATTGTTATTATTATTATTGTTCGAAAATTTATAATGGCAGAAGAAGTTTAATGGGGATTAATTCGCACGTATACTGTTACTTTGAGGGGCGAGGGTGACTGGCAGGGGTTTTTGTAGCTTTGCTTGACTTTGCATATTTATTTTTGTTATATTTTTTTTTGCTCTATAATTATTATGGGATATAATTTATTAATTAATTTGAATTTGAGGAACTAATTATGAAATCAGCAGCGTTGGCTTTATGCATTCGCTCACATATTTAAAGAAGTCATGTGAATTTTGTTTTTTTTTCTCCAGACAATGAATGATATTTGTTATTTTCAGATATACAAAAAAAAATAAAATAAACTGTATAATATAATGGTTTATTCAAATGTGGCGAATAAATAAATAATAAATATAAAATCGATCCAGATATGAAGGCAGGCACGTGAATGACTTAAATATTAAGATATCATTTCCGAAAGACAAAAATAGACTGTCGCAGGTTTAAATTTTTGAAATTTCGAAATAATTTTCCATTGCGGCATATAATTTTTTTTATATTTTAAAATTGGGTTGTTGAATTTAAATAAATTTAAACAAAACCCCAACATTTAGATTTGCCTAAAATGTAAAGATATGGTAAACATTGGGTTTGAGGGACGTACATTCTCAGCCAATTATAAAATTTCTTTTAGAACAGTTTAAGGTTTTCATTTTCGGAAGGACTATTTTGTCTGAACAGATAATTTAACTTAACAAATCTTTTATAAAGCTTTTAGGAAATAACGGATATAATCAAAAATATTTGATTTGTGAACCTTTTTTAGATGTTGCGGGCTTTGTCAATTATTTCAATCTTCTTCTCTAGAAAATAAAAAAAATAGGTCTTTATTGGCCAAATGATAAATATCATTCAGAATTAGATCATTAGCATTCATAAAATTTATTATCAGAAGAAGGAGTACCAAATATACTCAAATCTCCAAAAAAAATCGCTCGAATTTGAAGAAAGAGTGAAACGCACTCTAATTCGAGCGGGAGCGCTCCTGGGAGCAAAAAAAACAAAGATAGAGCAAATTCAATTATTCGATGTCTCTCCAATTGGATTGAACATGGTTTCCTCATTTTTGGGTCGAAGTAAAATTTGTTCGAAATTGAGCAGATTCAACACTTGCCCAGCACTATTTAAGTTTTTGTGATACCATTGTCGTATTACACACCTCCTTCCCACCATTCCTCCTTGTCTTGCATGACATGTGGCTTCAACAAGATGGTGTGGTTTCAATGAACTTATTAAGAAGTAAGTTCGGTAAACAGTTCATTTCACGTTCGAGACCTGTTAATTTGCCGCTTAAGTCGGCCATTTAACGCATTTAGACATTTTGGGGCTATGTTCGAAACCTTGTCTATACAGACGAGCCCGCTTCAAATAAAGCATTTATTCGTGGGGTACCGGCTAGAAAGATTATGCTGAAATTGGTTTAAGCGGGTGGACTCTTTGAGGCGCTATCGCAGTCAATCGCAGAAATAATCTTCAAACACTGAGCAAAAAGATCGTTCTATCAATTCAAATAAAGATTGAATGCGTTTTTCTGAAGTTTACGTGTTGTTGCAAAGAAATCATATAGCTCTTAAAAAATCACCCTTTATTTCAATGTGATAAATGTTTGATAGGGTGACGTACGAAATTATTTCCATGACAATTAGAATATGGCAAAAAGGGATTATCCGATTTGGTTCAAACTTTTACGTCGTAATTTTTTCCAAATTTAAATTCGGGGGTAAGCAATATTGGTCCACCAATTCTGGTGCTTCCACAATCCCACAAAGCTTCACAATTATCTGAAAAATGACAATTCTTTGTATAATACGAAGGAAGGTTCAATAGAAGTTTTAAGAAAGTTTCAACAAGAAACAAATTAACAGTAAGTTAGGTGTCAATATCATAAACTCAAAAAATACAAAGTATCTTTTTTAACGAAAATATGGGAAGCATAGGACTTGCAGATTTTCCACCGATGAAACCTACCACTTCTATACAAATTCACATATTCGTTTAAACTTCCTTTAGAAAATATAAAGCTATCAGAGAAAATACTAGAACAAAAAAAGCCCTATTTTGGGCGCCACATATAGAATTTTCCATATTGTTTGTATGGTTTTAGTTGACATTTGGACTCAATATTTTTAATTATATAATAATTTGTAATTATATATATAATAAAGCTATTATTATTAATTTTTTTTTTTGAAAATACAACATGAAAGATAGGAACCCGATACTTTTCTTTATTCGTACCGACAATGTATCAAACCCCTAATTGGGCGCCAAATGAGTTGATTTAATAAAGAAACGTAAATATGTTTTGGAAAATACTATGTTGTCTTTGCAATGGGCAAATAAAAACTTCTATGATTTCTTCAAGCTACAGAAGGATCTTAGAATATGGCAAAACCTTTATTTGGGCGAAAAGGCAGCAATATATAAATTTGAGGAAAACCTAGTTGAGCCTCTGGTTTAATTTTTTTTTTACAATGTGCCAAGTATAGGGAAGTCCTTTAATCCATAACGAAATACACCCTGGAATACTCCTGCGAGTCGTACCTGAATGTATCATTGGTTTTTCTTAGAGCAGCTTCGGAGCTCCGAAATGTAAATTTGAGCGAGTCTCACTCTCCTTTTTTTACTCCTGCGATTATCGAGTATAATCTTTTATTTTATGGTTCTCGAATAAGAGGGAGTACTGTTTGATTGTTTTCGAGAGTGAATGAAAACCAATTTGAATGGGGCAGATGCTTTTCTCTTGCCGAGTACTCATTTAGTTTTTGTCATAACGTTGTTTTATTTCTATGTATGAATATTTACTTCACCCCCAGGTCTGAACGAAACAAAACCAAAGACGTTGCTCAAGATGTACCAATAATGCAGATGATAGTGTAGAGTAAAATCTTACCCTATTTCGATCTTTTGACCTCCATTCTTACATTTCAAACAAGAGTGAATCGGAGCGCTTCCACACAAAACAAAAGAATGAAAAGTAAATTCCGTAAAACACTCCGACTCTTGGAACACTACCGTTCGCGAGCAAGTTTCTCTCCCGAGTAAAAACGAGTAATTCCTATATCCATGGTCCAAGAATGATAAGTTTCTTCTACTAAAAACTCCTCTAACACCCTGCCAATCCAAAATCTATGGTCCTGCCGTTACAAAATGTATTTTCTTTGATAATCCCGCTTTTGTGATTATTTCTTGACGAAGAAGTTATTCTACTATTTGAGCAACTGGAGCTCCCAAATCGAGGTATGAAAATTCAGGGAATTTTAAATTATTGTTTTCTACCTTTGTAGGGTATAATGTCTATGAATTGTAGTTGACGAGAAGTGTTGTATATTTTAGTAAATCTGTTGTTTGAATTCGAACATTTGTGTAAATCCTAGTCGTTTTTTTTAAACTAACGTTTATTCCAGATAATGAACTAACCTTTTCAGTAAAGCTTAAGACCCTAGAAAATCTGGACAATTTCGAGACACTGGAAAAATGATTGATTTAGTTTAGCGATTCTTTTCGGAGAATGCTTCAATTGAACTAGATCTGAACTTTCCAGCACTACTGGTCTTTTATACCCTCCACCATAGTATGGAGGTTATATTAAGTTTGTCATTCCGTTTGTAAAACCTCGAAATATATAAAATAATAACCTGATGATTTTAGCGACATCATTCACCGGAATTGTTTCAAATTTGGTATTTGAAGTTCGTAATGGATACTACAGCCTAAGACAGTAAATTGCCTATGCAGGTCCATGTCTTCGCATAGCCCCCATATAACGGTGCCTCCCGAAATTCAGTATTTTGATGATTTTATCTACATTATTACCGAATTTTTTTTAAGTTTCGCAAAATTGTAATGGCTTATAACAAATGTTACCTATGCATTTCCATGACGTCGTATAGACCCTAATATAACAGCTACATTCGGTATTTTTTAAGATTTTAACAGAATTTTTAACGGATTTTATTGTTTTTTAGAATTGCCAAATTCGTTCCAAATGGTGGAGGTTATTCAAAGTTCGGCCCGGCCGAACTTATAGCTTTTTTACTTGTTTATTTTCATATGTTTGGGAACTCCAATCTGACATTTTATCAGAACTGCAATACATTTTTGACAATTGATCAATTCGCTTTGGAATAACCAAATTTACTTGTCTTGGCGTACAGACATTATTTCATCATCATCAACCGCCAGACATAGCGCACTACAATTTTAAAATATCTGCACACCTCATATCATAAAAATTACATGCGTTCTTAATTCAATATTTAAATTTACTTTAATTTTTATATTTTTACTAATTAATTGTATTTTCTTCTCCCTTTTCTTCTCTTTCCAGACTTATCACAATTTTTGTAGAACACCAACTGGTTGCCTTAAATCCAATTTTATCAGAAATAACTTTTTTACCTAGTGTGTAGTGTAATTTTTTTAAAAAAGAAAATCATGCGTTTTTTATATACAAAAGAATCTACATATATATATCAAATCACACATTTAGTATATAATTAAGTTACAACAGTAACAACAAAACCAAATTCGCTTGTAAGTGTGTAAATAAGTTAATTGTTTTGTTTATTTGAAACGGGAAACAGAAATTCGTCCATAATTTTTATGAATCTATTTTTGAAAACCAATTGGCTTTAATTTCTGAAAAGAAGAAAGTAAAACAACAACAACAAAAACAATGTAAATTTTTTTATACAAACTCCACTGAAAAGCTGTTATACAAACAAAACTAAAACCAAAAAGAGGAAAACAAAACAAAAAAACAAATTTTATAAAGAAGTGCCTAAAACTTGTTAAAAACCCCAAAAATCTTCCCCCCAACAAAACCCTATCCCTTTTTACAAGGAATCAACACTGAAAGCAAATAAAACAAAAAAACTGAATAAATATTTAACGAAATAAAAGTCAACGGAAAAGATCACTTGAAATTGTGTTCTTTTTCGTGAAAAAGCCAAACCAAAAACCAATCCACCAGCGCATCCCCTAAAATTTTTCAACGCGACACCGGTGACACCAACACGCTGGCACTGGTGAACGAAGTTCTAAGTGGCTTTGCCTTAGCGATGCCATTTATTGATGACGCTCTACTCTGGTGTCCGGATAACGATGGTCGCATTGTGGGTGGCCTAGACATATCAGCATGCATGCAGGTTAGTACTTGAATTGAATACAAATGACTTGTTGTTGAAAGTAATATCTCTTCTTCTTCTTTTTATCTAGGATGGAGTACCCCAATCCAATGAGAATGTCAGCGAGAGCACACAGCTAGCCGAGAGTACCACGGACATAAATGCCCTAGAACCTTCGTTGTGCAACAATGACTCTTCCGATGAACTGTTCCGTCAACTATCCGAAAGTAATTTTGAAATAGAGAGTCTGCTCTCGGATCTGGCCACAGTTGAAGTGAAAGTAAGTAAAATTGGTCGGCCGAAAAGATATATGTAAGGCAGATGCAGTTCAGATAGAAATTTCTAACTTAAAACGTGAAAGTGAGAAAGACCCGGTGAAGAGTAAAACTCACTCGAAATCGAGCGAGAGCACTTCTCTTAGTAGAAAAACAAAACAAAAAACTATTTTTCGGTTTCGCTGGAATTAGGGTGAACATGCTTTGCCCATTTTAGAGTGAGGGTGTCTGCACACGATCACACTCACCTCTTTTCACTCTTAGAACCAACTCTTGCTCTGTTTTGGGAGATTCAGTTCCCACTCTAATTTTTCAAACACGAGCGACTCGGTAGCGCTGCCACCCAAAATAAAAGAGTGAAGAGTAAACTCTGTAAAAAACTCCCTCTCTTCGAACAATCCTGTTCGCGAGCCAATTTCGCTTCCGAGGGGAAATGAGCAAACCTATGACCACATTTTTTTTACCCGCCACTCTGAGGAAAATTAAAATAAGGTATAGGAATGCCAACTTTCAATTGGGTTAGATTAATCGGCTTTTTATATTAAAAAGTCTAAAATTTGATTATAGATTGTTATATAAAAGCAAAATTATCTTTGCTGAATCGATTCCAAATTTGAGATTTTTAGACCAACAAATTTTTAGCATTTATAAAGTTTGCTATTTTTTAGTTTTTAATAATTCCAAAACTCCAAAAATTTAAATCGTCATTGGCTTTTAAAGCCGAATTCGAAAATTGAGTTAAGAGGTCAAAACCTAAAGATCGAGTTAATATTTCAAAACCAAAGATCTAAAAATTCACTTTTTTGGTGAAGACAAAAATCGAAAAGTCTGAAAATCAACTTCAAACAGCTAATGCATTCGGCAAGGTTATATTAGAGGGTTGGGCAGCTTTCGATTTCTTTTTCTTCGTCGCAGCCATTTAAGGTGGGCTGCGGCTCCTCATATTTAACCTAAGCCCTCAGCCCCCCCTGCTTTGGGGGGTGGTACTTCCGGCTCTGGCACATCAAAGGACTTTTTTGATGCCTTCGTTGTTCTTTCCACCGATACCACCCTTCAAGATACGCAGGGAAGCAGTCGTCGCTTTTTTTTGAGATCCCTTAATTTTGCGTTCAAATAGGTCCTCTCGAACTCCTTAACAAACTTCAAGTTTGTCTTGATAAGCAGCAGCTCCATATTCCTGTCCTGGAAACCCATCGACATACCGTCTAAAATAATTTACTGCTCGCCGATATGCCTTCTTATCCCTCATTTCCTTGGGTTTGGCGCTCTTAATACCGGGAGAGCTCAGCAGCTCTTCCATTTTATTAATGGAGACCCCGCTCTGCCCACCTTCCACTTCGATGGTCTCCTACCTTAAGAGTGTGGTCTTGTCGTGCTTACCGACGAATTTGTATTGGGATCGGTCGACTACCTTGGGAGTCAACCCTTGATTAGAGTTCGAGGCATGGATTATCCATGTCCACTTCCTCATCAGACAGAGGGGTTTCCCAGAAGTATACAGGAATGCTGTCCTGACTCAGACTTAACGGTCCCATCTGCTGTCTGGTCCACACCAGTATCAGCCGAAAAAGGAGTGTTTTTTTTCATGGCAAGGACTTGGTAACTAAACTTGATATTCGTTAAGGCGTATTAACGAAACCCCGTTACAATACAGTCGGTACTTTCACTGAAAATCTGCAACACTGATGAACACGTGGTCACATAACGCCCCAGCGTTAGGCGGTCGAAGGCCGAGTAGTCAACCTTAGCCGACTTTGGTCTAAAAAGTCAAAATCAAAAATGCATTTTTTGCAAATTGGTCAAAATTGAAACATAGAAAAGTCTGCTTTTTTGTTATCTTTAGTGCATATTTATGTTAAACCAAAACTGCCCTTCTCGGTGCATGTCGCTCTGAAAAGTTATAGAAAGATTTCAAGCAATTTAGGAGAGCTACAAGACATGTTATTAAATGGAATTTGTGGTAGGAATTCGACAATTTAGATTGAAATTTCAATTTCTTTTGAGATGATGAATTAGTATTAAGTCGGCCTCCTAGAACAAGTTTTGGACAAATTTTCATTATTACCACCGGTATTTTGCTTTGTAAAATTGGTTAGTGCTATGGCTAATTTTCCCAGAGATTGCAATAGTCCTTATCATTGTCTATCCGATTTGGAATTCATGACGTCCGTTAATAACACCCATTACAAATTTAAGGCCATACTTCATTAGACAGTGTAGGGAGGTTGTACGTATTTGTATTTTTGAATTGGTTAGATTTATTTTGAGACCTTCCAGCCAAACTCGCTCAGTCATCCTTTGTCTTGAAAAATGTTTAACAGTCATCAGCCTTCAAATATATATTTTCATTCGACAATTGTCTTCTAATCAATTATCCTCTCTTTTTCCCCTCTCCAGGAAGAGAACAACAACATCAGCGATGTCACCAGCGAGGGATGTGTTACCGACGACACATTTGCGGCACTGGTCAATGGGGCCGCGGCTGTGGCCAGTGCCTCCAATATCGGTACAAGCTCGTGCAATGGCGGCCGGGTTTCCTCAACCACATCACATCTAATCACCGGCGGCGGCAATGGCATTCAGCTACCGGGTGAAAATTCTGCCCTGGGTTCTGTGGGTACAAATTCGTTAACGCTGGAACCCACCGCAGCGTCTTCGACCCAGGAGCAGGCAAATAGTTCATCATTTCTCACACGTAGCAACAATAGTAATAGCAATAGTAACAACAACAACCCAAATATTAGTAGCAATAACAACAACAATAATCACAATTGCACGAATGGCACCAACATCAGTAATAACAACAATAGCAACAACAACCTTAGCTCAGAGAATAACTCATCGATATTCGATGATAGTTCAACGCGATTTCTGATCGCATCAAATCCCCTGCTGGCCGAGAAGTTAATGGCGAAAAGTTTAATACTCAAAACCGAAGCAACGACAGATTATAAAGGTAAGTATTGTATGACAGATTTTTGTTTTATTTTTTCAAATAAGAGAGTTTTTATAAATGGGTGAAAAACGCAGAAAATTTTCATAAAAGAAAAGCTAGTTTTGGGAAACGAATATAATCTGTAGACATAAACTCCGATTTTGTTCAGGTAATATCCCTGTTTCGGTATAGGTATATATTTTGGGGGATATCAAAAAATCAATACGACTTACGTACTTGTCAGCGTTGTTTAAGTCCCATAGCTTGTTTTGCACCTTAAAAAAGAAAAAAAAATATTCAATACCTCGATATATTTCATTTCTTAACATATATAAACCGAATGACTTGATTCAGGGTCGTTATTACTTCCTATTTTTCTTTGTTGGTATTACTGTATAAGCAAATGGTTTCAACTTTAAAACCTATCGAAACAGATTTAGTTAATAATAAATAGGACTTGTTACACAAATCGCATTCAATTTATTCAATTCAAATTTAAAACTGAATGAATCTGAATTTACTTCAGAATGTTTACTTTAGTATCCAGCGAATCAAAATTTAATTGTAATAATGGTCACTATTGGGCTGCCTCAATATTGTAGGTAGCGCCTTAAAGTATGCTTCACACATATGTTTTTTCATAGATTGCTAGTCGTTGGTTCTTTTTTGATGAAACGGCATCGTGCAACGCAAACGTAAAATATTTTTGTTCGTTTCTTATAAAAAAATTAGCTATAATGGTGAACCCGTCCATAATCGGGAACCTTGTTTTGGTTATTTAGCCAGAGTGGCGTCAATTAACAGGCAACTAATATATCGTTCTTAAAAAATATGAATCGCACGCGCAAGTCTAGGTCTAAACATTTAAAACAATAACAATGACAGAAGTAAAAATGAGCCGGTTTGCTTCGAAAATTTTATATGTTGATTAACGTTTTCTGTGATATATGCTACAGCCTGTAAAAGTGCAGAGATAATGCCCGTTTGGGAAAAATTGTGCTTGGACCTTGAAGCTATCATTGGAAAATCTGGACCTTCTTGCGAGAATGTGTTCTATCTGTTAATATATTATTACAGTTAACATTTCAGTCCGATGGATAGTTGAAGGACCAACAAATTAAAAGGTGATCAAAAATATGTGTACTTTGTGGAGTTTCAGACAAATATTTCGAAGTGTTACTAATCGCAATATATTTTCTGTAATTTTTTGCATATTTTACATGGAAAAGTTCATTTCTAGCTGGTTGGATCCCACCCCTTGAATGATTTCAAAATTCATTTCTGTTGTTATTTGTTGCTTTTCATTGTGGGAAATCCAATCGGAGCTGTAAATTTAAAATTTAAATTCGACGAGGTATTATTTAATAGTTTGACATTTGAGAGAAATTCATGTACTCGGTTTGTTTTCAGCACATTAGCGAAAGAAACCCCTTTTCTAAATTATATTGGCCTCTCTATATTTAATATTTTGGATTTTCACACAATCAGCTATTTTTTGAAGAAATGAGGAATTAAACATTATTTAAAGCATATTTTACGGGCTATTATATTCAACACATTAACCCGAAATAAATGTAAATGTGTGACTTACATAGTTTTTAAGTTCAATGTATGTATATTGTATTATTTTCTTTGCATTTTTTGCACATCACAAATCAGTCACAAACCAGTGGGTTACAGTTTGAAAGGCATAGTCACTACAACGGGTATTGCCAACTATGTGTTTTAGTATGGTTTGTGGCTGCGGTAAATGTAATAAATTGTTTGCATATTTGGTAATAGCTAACAAAGCATACTTTTAGGGATGTACTATTCATACTGTAGTATGCTATTCCTCACTAGATGGCTCACTTATATTTGAAATAATATTAAGACTAGCAACAGAATATTCTTCAGAAATAGATGTCCCCACAATAAATAAGACATATTAGCGAGAAACAAGCATTTAATGGAATTGTGCTGCTAAGACTATGATACGTGACAAAAACGAAGAAAAAAAGCAAATATGTTCGGCCGAGCCGATCTGTTAATACCTTGCACCATTTGGAAGAAACTTTCAAAATTTAAACAAAGTTCCGTTCAAAAAGTACGCTATAATTTTAAGAATTCGGAATGATGTTATATTGGGGAATACGAAAACTTGAACCTCGAAAGCCAAATATCTGCCAGAGAAGGTGATGCCTATTACAAACTCAAAACAACAAGTTTGAGATAATTCTGTTGAAAAATCATCAAAATACCCAATATAGAGAGGCATACAAAGGCGAGGATTTTTGAAGGAAATTTTCTGTCATTTACCGAACTCCAATGCCACTTTTAAAAGAATTCCGGTAAACAGTGTGGCACAAATCATCAAAATATCGAATATCTGGAGGTACAGTTATATTGGGACTATACCAAAACATGGACAAATGTGGATAGTTCCATGCAAGAATATTTGCAGCAAATATGGGTTTAAATTGTGATACATAAGGGGTGGACTAATATTGTCCATTTTCGTGCTTGACCAAAGGTTGATATAAAAATGACGGGATGTTTAGACTACTTCCCTCACTTAACATGAGATATGTATCATCATTTTGAAAATTTTGGCATTGTTGGTAGTGGACGGGTGGGAGGGGTAGGTACAAAACCTCTTGGACCGACATATAACATCTTAAAGCGACAATGTTTTTTCCGAAAATTTCTTAATTTTGTGTGGGAGGTACAAGAAAGAGAGAGCCAATTGGTTCTACCTATCCTTAGTCTAATTGAAATATTACGATATGCAAAGTTCAAACTATATCGGGAGCTCCCTTCAGAGGATATGAAATTGTTGAAATTTTTCTCATTTCTTATATCTTTAATTTTTACAAATGTTCTAATATAGGTAAAGTTTGATCAATATAGGACAATTGTTTCAAAAAATTACGTGAAGGTTTCAAAATGTTTATCCTTTGGGTGATAGTTCCAGAAGGATTGGGACGATATGTAACATTCTCATACTAATCGAAAAATATAGTGCCAGGTAACAGAGTAACGAGAGACCGGCCCTATAAGTCCCATAATAACACACGAAGTTTGAAAGAAACTTGTAAATTTGTGGAGAACATTCCTCGGATTACAGCATCATAACCCAAGTGTTAAGCATATCAAGCAATTTGCATTTTTAGTTCAGTTGGATTAATTAAGTCGAAATTTGGAATTTTCTGAAAACTTTATACATTACACTGCGCGACAAAACACAATTTTTTGTAAAAACTCGGCAGAATTCAGCAGATTATGAAAGTAGAGCTAAAATAGAAGACACGTGTATTGGCGTTTCGACAGTTTGTGTCGCAAAGTATTTCAAATAGAGGGAGTAGTTTCCTCCCTCTTCACACACTTTTGTAAATTTTCGGATTAAGATTCCTCGAAATCCGTGCATTTTATGTCTATAGTGTCTTCGGCAAAATTGCAGACAAAAATAAGAGGAATATTTTGTTCGAACTCGAATTCGAATTTAAACTCTCAGGTCAGTCAACAAAGGGGTATTTTTGGTCCTTTTTTGAAAATATTGTCAAAATCTCTTTTAAATGGGATCGTAGGAAGTCAATATATTCTACAAAATAATTAGTCATAAAATTTTACCATGGGCCCTAGAAGATGTCAAAAGTCGAAATCTTACGTAAACACCAGGAATTCATGTAAATTATAAAGCCATTTAAAGGTTAAAGCCCTACTTTGTGTGAGTTTATGCAAAAATCTCCCACAAAGCATTATTTAAGATAGGTGACGTCAAAGACAGACATATTCTTCATCGAATTTTACTATGAGTCACCAAAGGAAGGAAATCTGTATTTCAATTATCAATGTTACCAATGGAAACCGAAAATATTCCCATATTTTGTGATAAATTTTCCTTGTCCTTTTTCGAGTTGACACCTGAAAGTAACACAAAATTTCGTTTTAGACACAAGGTATCAAAAGAAGAAATATTCTTTACAACATTTTACTATAAATCTCAGAATAAACCATATATGTAGGTACAATAGTTTTTATGGAAATTACGTTCAAAATGTATGTAACAAACGGGAAAATTATGTGCTTCCTTTTTTTACTGGTTAATTTAACACATATCCAATCCCAAAAATCAAATCAAAATCTCCCTTTATACTTCATTTTTTGAGAAAAGTGTCAAAGAAAGAATTATTCTAGAACGAATTTTAGTGTGTGTCTCTGAAGGAAAGAAATAGAAATTCCAAGTGGAAACAAAGCTTATCCTCGTACTTATTTATTAATTAAAATAGAAATATTTTTGATTTTATTTGAACCCAAATTTTGGGTTATTTTCGGGCCCCAAAATAATGTTTTTTTTTTCGATTTTCTTTAATTAATGTTCTTCATATTTCAAACATGATGTTGTCAGTTTGAATTCAAACTACGCAATTCTGCAAAATTCCAATATGATATATATTTGCACAACATATTGTCTTTCATAATATCCATCCTTCATACATGTATTTAATTGTATTACATTCGCGCACACACACACTCACTCACTCTCACTGTCTCTTCTATGGATACCATTTCATTCGTCTTCAATTAAATCCCTTCAAAATCATAACCTAAAACCGCAATTTAATTGAATTCCATGTAATTTGAAGAATATGAAGAAAAATAAACTTTGTTTTCTTTTTTTTTAAAGAATTTCATATTTGTTTGGTGTATACGTTTTAGCGACATTAAGGGGGAAGAGAGGGTAGGCGGTGTGAATCAGACCACATTAAGTTCTTTGGCATGTAAAAATTTACGCTCTGCCTGTCATAAATGCCTACAATACATCAATACATTTAGCCCCGGCGGGAGGGAGGGAGGGGAGGTGCGGAGGTCTTCCCATGCGAGGAGGAATCTGTTTTACTAAAGCTTATGTGGAGTCCCACAACTCTCTTCAAGCCAGCCCTTATTTTCTCATCATTTCTCCTCCCCCACTCCCACCAGGGTGTTGAGAAGAGAATAACCTTTCAAGGCCATTGCAAAAGGTACAATGATCTTTGAGAAAA